AAGACAGTAGCGATCACGGCGGTCCTGGAGAGACAGGAAGCCAGTGTCAACATACAAGCTAAGGACGGGAGTCGAACGAAAGGCACCAGAACTGAGGCGCAACCCAGTATGGTGCAAAGCATCAAGACGGCGAAGAGTAGAAGGAGAAGCAGACGAGTAAGCAGGGCAACCATAATCGAGCTTAGACAGGACGAGAGAGGAATGTAAAGCGAGGAGAGTGCACCTATCTGCCCCCAAAGAAGTATGGGACAAGACCCGAAGGAGGGTAAGGGCCTTAGAGCACTCAACACGGAGGTAAGAGATATGGGGAGACCAAGACAAACGAGTGTCAAGGAATAACCCCAAAAGCTTCGCGGAATCTTTGTATTCAAGGGGATGACCATAAAGTGACAAAGAAGGACGAAGAACAACCCGTTTCAGCGTAAAAGTCATGGCACAAGTCTTAGAAGTAGAGAACTTGAAGCCATGATCGGTGGCCCCCGAGTCACCGAAGATGCCCACTTTAATACAGCCCATTCAGCATGTGAAATATTAGGGTATGAATACCACATTTCAGGTAAATAACTACAATCCAATGTTTAATCATTTTTTGTCACAACAGACATTACATTAAAACTGAGTTGGAGTCTTGGGAAAGTCATTAAACATATTCAAAATAAAATGTTATGGTTTGTATTCATTTTGAATTGTTGCAGTTTTCATTCCCAAAATATGGGCCCTTGTACTTTAGAAAATGAGGTTTAAACGCCGGGGCTTAAGAAATAATATTAATTCATTCATTGTGTCGGGAGAGGTAGCCAATCTGTGCTTATACACGTCAGGCAGGAAATGTATATGTTTATCTCTCAGAATGTTCGGTAATACGTTTATTGTTTGTGATGTGTGTCTATGTATGTATTAACACGATATACTGAACGAGGCGAGAATAGCTTTAGCTACCTCATCCCTTTGTGTGTATTTTACCTCAATAAACTTGTTTCTATTTCAATTACACGTCAGGCTTATATCGAGGCTCCCCCACCTCCCTCGAGGTCAAATTACAGACCAAATCAAACCTGGATTTCCCAGGATACAACCCCACAAGCCGACTAACTCCTGAATACCTATTTACTGTACTGCTAGGTGGACAGAGGCATTAGGTAATAGGAAATGCGTAAAACCATTTCTGTCCCGCCTAAAACTCGAACCCGGAATTTTCTATTTTAAGTCGAGAACAAACCCGACTGTACTACTACAGGTATGCCACCAGACTGGTCCCGGAACTGAGAGGAATGAGCTACAAAAAAAGGCTATTAAGGGAGCTGAACCTCAACCCTAGAAAACAGAAGAGTATGGGGAGACATGATAACCACCTACAAAATTCTCAGGGGAATTGACAGGGTGGACAAAGACAAACTCTTCAGCACGGGTGGGACACGAACAAGGGGATACAGGTGGAAACTTAGTACCCAGATGAGCCACAGAGACGTTAGAAAGAACTTTTTCAGTGTCAGGGTAGTTAACAAATGGAAAGCATTAAGTAGTGTTGTGGTGGAGGCTGACTCCATACACAGTTTCAAATATAGATATGATAGAGCCCAATAGGCTCAGAAATCTGTACACCAGTTGATTGACAGTCGAGAGGCAAGACCAAAGAGCCAGAGCTCAACCCCCGCAAACACAACTAGGCGAGTACAGCAATCCGTCCTCGACTCAAGTCCATTGCATCCAGTGGTCGACCCCACAGACGCATTCATAAATTTTAACATGCTGTTCGTTCAAAACTGGAATGTTCTCAAATATAAATTAATATTATAATATATTAGCATATTGTGCATATATAGGCATAGGTTAGGTTAGGTGTTTAGGTTCTGTTGGCAATTATTTATATTTGCAGTACGTGGGCAAAGCATTTACAGCGTTGTGGTTCGAACAAAAGTCATCAGTGAAGCACTTGTTCCGGAACTGTTCGAACGTCAACAATTGAGAGTTGTTTATAAACCGGTTTTTCATTCAAAAACGGGGTTTGACGGGTGCATGGAATCACTTTTGGGTCTTTGTTTGGAGGACGGGCTGACCACAGCACGTCCTCATAAATCAACCCGTCCTCAGACAAAGTCCATTCAATCCAGCGGTCGACCTCAAAGATGCATTCATAAATTTCACCATGCTGTTCATTCAAAACAAATTGTTTTTCTCAAATATAAACTAATATTATTACATATTGTGCATATTTAGGCATTGGTTAGGTTAGGTTAAGGTTCTATTGGCGATTATTTGTATTTGTAGTACGTGAAGCATTTACAGTTGTAGTTCTAACAAAAGTCGTCAGCGAGGCACTTGTTCCAGAGGTGTTCGGATGTCATTAGGTATGAGTCATGTGTAAACTCATTTTCATTCATGAACAGGTTGGCGGGTGCATGGAATGAACTTTGGCCTTTGTTTATGAGGACGGACTGCATAAACAAAGGCCAAAGTACATTCCATGCACCCGCCAAACCCTGTTTATGAATGAAAAACTTTTTACAAACGATTTAACTGATGACATCCGAACACTTCCGGAAGAAGTACTTCGCTGACAACTTGTGTTCGAACCACAACGATGTAAATGCTTCACCCACGTACTACAAATATAAATAATTGCCAACAGAACCTTGACGGGAGACATCTCCCGTCATGCAGGGTGCAGTCGCACCTCCAGTATCAGCTCTTGATACTGGTAATGGCTCAAAAGGGCCACCACTTACGGGCTATTCATGCCCGTGCCACCTTTTGGGTGGCGTAATCTTCATCTATCAATCAATCAACAGAACCTAAACTCCTAACCTAACCAATGCCTAAATACACAATTTGCTAATATATAATAATTCATATTTGAGAAAATTCCCATTTTTGAATGAACCATGTTAAAATTTATGAACGAGTCTTTGGGGTCAACTGCTGGATGGAAAGGACTTGTATTGAGGATGGGTTGCCTATAGGACCCTAAATGTGCTTCGAGATGTAATGTCTTTACAGACAAGTTCTGGTCGTTGTGTCATACAATGTCGAAATGAAAATTTCACTTAAATTGACCTATAGAACATGGGAAATATTATTGTTTGAATAGTAACACTTATCATAATCCAAAAATGATTAACAATGTTCTTAGACGAATGAAACATTAGGAGAAAGAAACCGGCATGTCAATGCATTTTTCTAGTGTTCAAAAATGAAATAAATGCATCACACAAATGCCTCCTGATGGCACTGTATTGATGACAGTAACACTCATTCAGTAAGCAATTTGGTCTAGATTTGAGGCAGAATCAGAGAGGATTGCCTAGGTACCAGTCCCTAACTGTTTACCCAACAGTAATTGGGAAGTTGATTGCAAATCTATTGGCAGGTTGTATTTCTGAGAAAGCTAGTAGGTAAGGCTGATGCCTGGTAACAGGAGTCGGTAATAGTACTGCTCCTGTAATCACGTTTGTTTAATAAAATTCTCCAGTTGCAATGAATCTCTCACACCCAACAAATTAGGGTTGGTACCATATAGTTTGCCTAGTCGAGGTTGCACTGTACATTGTTGTTAAAATATCTGCTCCAATCTTCAAAAAAATTGCTTGTAAAATCTTGTTAATTATTTTAGGTGTAGTTTGGCAATGAAATCCCTCTGACGTAATCATTTCGTTTCCCGATGAAGCGGACACGTCCTCACCAAAGAAAGGGTAGGGGTGTTGCCACATGCATTTAACTTTTTTTATTGAATTTGTAATGTTACTTCCGTTTTGTTTTATAGTGCAAGATTCATCGAGCTATCAATGGCATATTATAACTTTGAACAATAAATCATACTATTTTTGCTGTTGTAACACTGTACACATTACACACTAAATCTACATATTTTTGCAGTTGCAAACCACAACCTACACTGCACCAAGTTACAACTGCCTTCTCACTTTTCTCTCCACTTTATGATGTTCTTGCAGACCAAGACCAAACTCGTCTACCTTGAGGTTACCATGAGATGATTTCAGGGCTTAAGTGTCCCCACAGGCCGGCTGTCAACCAGGTCTCCTCATTGCTAGACTGGTCGACCAGGTCTTCTCGTTGCTAGACTGGTCAACCAGGCTGTTGGACGCAGCTGCTCATTGGGCCTTGGCATGACCCCAGACACCTAATGGACACACAAGGTAGTGTAGCATCACTGGCTTTTATAGGACAAGATGCTAACGAAGCAAAATGCAGAGCCAAGTACATAAATTTGTCGCTGAATCATTTAAGTCTTTTACAAGCATATATTTGTCCAGATTTTTATTAAATTACCTTCAAGTGAAAATACTGACACAGCTGCATGAATGGGTTGGGAGCTTGAGCCACATTCATCACCCATAGTTGCTCTCTTAATACTACTGGACAGCAGCCAAGGCAACATTTAAAGGCCTGAGGAAGCAGTTGCGAGCCTGACAGCTGAGTGGACCGCGCTTTGGATTCACAGTCCTGAGATTCCGGGTTTGATCCCCGGTGACAAACTCTGCCCGTTTGGAAACAAACGGGCAGAGTTTTTCACCCTGATGCCCGTTACCTAGCAGTAAATAGGTACCTGGGAGTTAAGACAGCTGCTGCGGGCTGCTTCCTAGGGGTATGTAACAAAAGGGAGGCCTGGTCGAGGACTGGGCCACGGGGACGTTAAGCCCCGAAATAAGCATTTGCATAAAAAAATTCTTTAATTTCCTACGTCTACATATTTGGAAATGAGTAGTTTGTTTATACAAGTGCTGATAGGGTTCTGGGAGTAGTTCTACTCCCCAAGCCCGGCCCGAGGCCAAGCATGACTAGCGAGAACTTGGTCCAACAAGCTATTGCTTGGAGTGGCCCGCAGGCCCACCACATAACTATGCCCTATAATTTGTTATTAAAACAAGAAATGCCATCTTGCATAGGTGAAATGTTTCATGCATCATAATGCCAAATAAAATGTAAAATTTGACCATTAAATATAAACCTTAAACGATAGGATTTTAAAATAATACAAAATACTTTAATAATGATTCTTATTCCCTTCGACACATTTTTAAAATAATGAATTAAAACAATAAATACCTGGTACATGGGGAAAACAGTTTTCTTTTTAACATATTAAAACACATTTCACTGGCTAAAATAAAGAATAAGTAGAGCCAAAAATTAAAAAATGACTATACAATGCTTTGATTAAAAGGAGATATTGATATGACATATTTCTATGTACGAATATAATGGAAGAAACAAATTTAACAAGAACATAAGACAAACCCAAAACTAATAGTCTTCAGCATTATACTGTGTATGTATATAAAAGATAACATAAAAAAATAACATCACAATATACCTAAGTTTGCTTGCCCCCCCCCCACATTAATATTTTCATCAAGTTGTATCGTACTTGCTGCATGATATACCATTTGATTGCCTACTTTTCAAGTATTAAAAAATACAACTGCTTTCTGGCAACATGTGTTCTCAAATCCCTCCATCACACACACACACACACACACGTGTGAAACCACATACACACACACACACACACACGTGTGAAACCACATCCACACGCAACCCCCACACAAACACACATTCAAGTCCAAGATCTAACGGCTCGATTCGGCAGGCACAAACAGTAAACACACACCCACCACACACCCACCCAGGAAGTTAATGAACAAATGAATTACTTCACTAGTAGTAGTAGGCATCCTTCAGTCTCGGGAGACTATGGAGTTGCGCTCTGGTTGTCAATCCTGGTACTTCAATCCTGGTGCAGCGCCTGGTACTTCAATCCTGGTGCAGCGAATAACTTCACTAATACTTTAATATACTACTACTACTGTACTAGCTAAAACCAATAAGAGAATGAGAAAAACTTTCATGTTCTAACAATCCTCTCTCACAAAATGAACATGATTTCAAATACAAAATTCTTAATTCAGCAATTTATGCACTAAATATTTCCCCATCATTCACACTAGCACAATGTAAATAAATTAGGTTAATCATTAAGTAATGATGCCCAATCAAATGCTTTTAATACAATTAGTCTAAACAAAATGCCATCAAGTGATACAGCTAAATGTGCATAAATTACCCTTTTAATTGCAGCATCAGAGAACACATTCACCATTCATTCTTCTACACACCTTAGTGTAATAACTGGAATGTACGAATATATAAAAACATCAATGCAGAGGGGAAAATGTAAGTCACACCGTAACGAAACTTGCAAGAATACGTAACATGCACAAAGATTGTCTCGGTGATAACGAAACTTGCACGAATACGTAACGTGCACAAAGATTGTCTCGGTGATAATGAAACTTGCACGAATACGTTACGTGCACAAAGATTGTCTTGGTGATATTATGGCACCTGTGAGTAACTCCGGCACTACAGTACACACTTCAGAAACACCGCAGCTCAATTACATTAAACCTGGTTTGCAGTTACATTTTGGATTTTTGGACTTCAGCACAAGTTATTTCAGCACATTATTGCATTTAACTTTGTATTATAGGTTCTGGTAAAATCATGATTATTACAAAGTTTCTAGATTAACAAATTTACATAAAATGGTAAATAAAAATTAAAACCTTTTTCAGTAACCAATACATCTACAATTACTGACACAGTAGTTTAAAACCTACGCTGCTGCAAATTGCACATATTAAAAATATTGTATTTTCCACTATTCTCAAGTATACCAAAAATACCTCTAAATTACAGCAAGGGAAACAAACCACACTTAATTTTTTTGGTGGGGCGGGAAAGGCCGGGGGATGGGGCGGGAGAGGGGCAGGGCAGGGGAGGGGGCAGGGGAGGGGGCAGGGGAGGGGGCAGGGGAGGGGGCAGGGGAGGGGGCAGGGGAGGGGCGGGGTTACATTCACTGTTCCGAGTCTGATTTGATTAGTCTTAACCTGATGCTAAAGACTCTGCGTGTGGCTGCTGGGCTTATTCCGATGTCTCCTTCAGATCCTTCTGGTGCTTGGTAATGTGTGTCAAGAGATCAATCTGGGTCACAATACCAATGCACACTTCTTTCTCTATGACAGAGCCTTCCATATCTGCAAGTGTAACAATCAGTTCAATAAATGATACGACTTATCAGTAAATATGTTATGCAAGAAAAGGCAAACTCATGTTATTGTTCTGAAATACAGATAACCGATATGAAATATTTACTATAAACAATGCGTATTCTCATGTAAATGTTTGGTATTTTTCGTAACATTAAGTGTACCTATCTGCAGGGTGAAGAATTTATCATATATTTAACTCACTTCTATACATTTATATGGATGTAAAGAAGTTAATCAAGACCCAAGAAAACCTACGCTATAATATTTAATTGCTTACTATAAAATGAGCAAGTGTCATAACCTGCGATTATTGTCAAGTCCCAATTAGATCGTTTCTGCTGTTCGAACATTGCCAGACTTCTTCAGACAGAATAGCAGCACAGCTGAGCACCGACAGATGTATGTGCAATATACTGTAGATGTACACATTACATTGTAGACCCATAAACAGTACCCGAATCTAATAACTCAAAGGGAATGAAAGCTACTGATGACCCATAAGAAAGAGACGTTTCATTACATTCAATATTATTTCAAGTAGGGCACCCTTAGTAGCTTCCCAATGCTACATTACTATGGACACTCCAGAGGAGGCTGCCAAACCTAAAAAAAGGACAAAACACAGCCAGAGGGTGTAAAAAATGACAACTTGAGGAATCAGAACATCACCCAGAGCTAAACCGAGCCCATGGGAAAACACCATATAGGAAAATTAACGATTCTTCGCGGCAGGGGATCGTATTCCAGGGACCTGCCCGAAACGCTACGCGTACTAGTGGCTGTACAAGAATGTAACAACTCTTGTATATATCTAAGTTAAAGTCTGCAACACCTTACTGAACCAACATTACTTAACCAACCGTTAAGTAATCCAAACCATGCAGGCAAGCATGCAAGATCAGAAGCATACCTGTAGCAAAAAAAAAAAACAACCAAGAATCCAAGATTAAACCGAACCAAGTCCAAACCTGGAAAAAACCAACCAAGACCACTTCCAGTTCACCAGGAACCCGAACTTGACAAGCTGGGACAGGATAAAATCCCTGGCTTACAGACGCATGGACTCGCTGGGAGGCCAAACCAACCCGTTGTTGTGGCATGCCAAGATACAACCCCCCCCCCCACCTTAAAAACATAACTGGGCTCCATTCACCTGGTCTCTAGGAGACTCGACCCGTGTACCCCATGCCAGTGAGGCCGAAGCTCATTTCAGGCGAATGGAATGTTTATTTCCATGGAGGAGTGGATGACATTTTATAACATTTTATTTTATATAGTGGATGACAGAAACCTCTGGAAGAATAAATCCGAGGAATCAAAAGGCACCAAGAAACAAACCCCAACTCTCACAGGGAGTGGGGATACAAAAACCCTGCACCCCCTATAACAGCAGACCCTTTGCATTAGGCACAAGAGCCCACAAATTATCAAATGGAATCCAAGGGGCCGATATCCGATTACCCCCATGCCCCCGGGGAACTACAGAAGAGGGGCCTGGAAAAGAGCCAATATTCACACTCACTGTACGAGATAAAAATGCAGAGTCTGCGGGCTTCAAAGGTCCAGGCAGACTGAAAAGAAGACCCAGAAGCCTCAGCTGGATCATCAGGCTTAACTGTCTCTGCTCCCAAATCAGAAGGGGTGAACCCTGGAGCTGACAAGAGCCACATCTCTAGCTAAACCATGCCCTGAAACCCTCAGACACTCTGGGGTCAGAAACAAAGGGAGAGGACCAGATGCAGGGCACACCACACCTGATGGGGAAGGAGGAAGAGAACAACTTTTGAATTAAAACACCACCAACTCAAATTCACTAACAACTGGGGCAATTCTGGGGCATCCAATCAGGTGCACAACCTAGACCGCTGCAAAACAGAAAACCTAAAGTGCAAAGTCGTCGTCGTTTGAAAACCCTTCAAGTCACCAGGAAGGTTTGTAAGGAGTCACGTGTGGAGTACAAGTGCTACACGACTCGGGTGTTGAAGGAGCCGCTGACTCAGCATACAGCATGGCTTCCCCCTCCCAGGCAAGTGTCCCTTTCTTCCTTCTCTGTGGGTGGCTAGTTTCAAGGAGCAAGAAGGGGCTTCTCACAGAAAAACAGCATTGAATGTAATGTAACACAAATTTCTGGGTGAACCACAGTGGCTCCCCGATTACCCCTCCAGGTCGTTGGGGGCGTCTGCCTTATAGAACTGAGGGTGGAGCAGCTAGCTACTTCCCTCCTTCCATAAAACAAGTGGGGGGAGGTGGGGCAAACAGGCCACCACTAGCTTCATAAATTTTCTATTACTTTTTTACATTGTTTGTGGAGTTCTTTAGGAGGTTCTCGAGGCTGCAGTCTTGTTTGAAGCTAGAAGTGGTTTGTTTTGTTTTGCCGACTTTCCAGGTGTCTCTTCCAGTGGGCGGCATAAATGAAAAACTTTACACAGTACATGTGTGTCATTGCTCTGGTCCCCGGTGGGCCCATAAATCTCTGCAACTTATGGGACCTATTACAGTAGTATGACACTATCAGAGATAGTGGCTTCATGGAAGCCACTATTGCTAGCCCAAAAGTTGAAGTTTCATTGTACAGTACCATATTCAAGCCCCACCCCCACACACAGGCAGAGGAGGGGGGGGGGGGGGTTAGAGTAAGAGTGGAAGTGCCTTTAGTCATAGCTGCACTTCAGGAGTTAAAGATATACAGTGGTACCTCGGAATGCGATTGTCCCTGTATGCGAGGTTTTCGGAAGGCGAGGTGTATTTACTCCAAAAATTTGTCTCGGAAGGCGATGGTTACTTCGGGAGGCGAGTTTGGACGCGAGTTTGTTGATACGCGTACAGCCGACCTAGCGCGTGGTGGTTCGGCGATCGTCGCCCCTCCGCCCCTCAGTTTATTTTTGTCTCGCGCTCAGTGACTACCCCCACATCAATTCTTCTCGCGGATTTTCAGTGTTTTGTTGGATTTTTGGTGATTTGTCTATACAATTTGTTTTTATATATCTCACCATGGGTCCCAAGAAAGCCAGTGGTAAGGATAAAGGCCAGAAAGCTCATGTGAGGATGACAATAGAGGAGAAACAAGAGATCATTCGGAAGCATGAGAACGGTACACGTGTTGTTGAACTTTGTAGGCAGTACAACAAAGCCACATCAACAATATGCACTATACTTAAGAAGAAAAATAAGATTATGGGTGCTAAAGTGGCAAAAGGAGTAAGAACATTAACGGCACAAAGACCACAAATACTTGAAGAAGTGGAAAAGTTGTTATTAATTTGGATACACGACAAGGAGTTGAGGGGTGATAGTGTTTCGGAGGCCATTATTTGTGAGAAAGCCAGGGTGTTGCACGAAGACCTTCTAAAGAATACCCCTGCAACGAGTGATGCAGATAAGAAAGAGTTTAAGGCAAGCAGGGGCTGGTTTGAAAAATTTAGAAAGAGAAGTGGTATCCATAGTGTTACAAGGCATGGGGTTATGTGATGTGATTATGGAAGGGGACTCTCCTTCCAAACAGTAACTCCTCTCCTCCTCCCCCCTCCTCACCATCTTCCATACGCCTACAGCACTCGACAGCAAGGTAAGTAATAACTGGAACACAGTTTTGTAGGTTTATTTAGATGAATTAGGTAAATTAGGTATAAAAATTTAGTTTGATGTGGGGTTTTTGGGGTAGTCAGGAAAGGATTAATTCATTTCCCTTTATTTCTTATGGGGAAATTAACTTCGGAATGCGAGTTTTCGGAAGGCGAGGCGTCTCCAGGAACGGATTAAACTCTTATTCTGAGGTATGCCTGTACAATAATCTTGGCAGAACCGAACTATCTAAAGGGGAACCAGGCTGCTACTTTGGTAAATTTGGGAGTGTAGGATTGAGTTGTTTACAGTGTACAGGTATTTGTAAACACATTATGCCAAAACTAACAAATTACAATAGTGTAATCATCTGTAATCAAAAGTCAATAGTGTATCACCTGTTAGTTTTGGTGTTCAAACTTTGAGAAAGTTGTGCATTTTGTAACTAGACATTTTGGGCAGTTCACCACAATGGTGGGTTGATCTTTCTCAACAAGCTTGCCTGAGGAGGGCAACATATTTCCTTGCTCCCGGTGGATGGAGACAGTCACAGGAGCCTGGGGTATCTACTGTGGCCCTGGAATGCCTGAGTTGTGAAACCCAGGAAGCCCCTAAGGATGCCAACCCACAAACTATAACCATCTCTGGTCTACAACGACTAACAACAAAAGCAAGCAGTTTTATCATACATGTATTTTAGGTTTAAAATACATCGAGGCCTTCTACAGCCAAAGAATAAGCAAATTAACTGCTTTTGAGGCATTCTACCAATAACAAGAAGCCAGCATTGAACGTAATAAAATGCCTGTTTCTGCGAGTTCTTCAGTGACTCCTCATTGCGACATTCTGGATACCTCCAACCAATTCCTTTCACACTAGGCCACTGCGAGTCTTAAAAAGCCTACCACAAACCAGAGGCCAGACACCTGTGCCTCTGAGGGGAACGAGTAATAGACAATTCAAGACTACTAACTGATGGAAAAAGCCACTGGAAAGCTGGAATGAACCAGATCAGACGACAGCAGGGTAAAATAAAATTAAAAACCTACGAAAAGCAAAAAGGAAAAACAATAAAATAGTATAGCGTAAAATTAAAACGCAGAAAACGGGGAAATCCAAAGGGCGACTTGTCTTTCTAGTTTCAGCTGACTGCTGCCAGGTGGTTGCCCTTGGCTACAGGCCAGTCTTAAGACACTGAAAGACCAAAAATAAAACTAAGATACCAGGAAGGGAAAGGGAAGGTCCAAGGAACCACTGAAGGATCAACCAGAACAAAGCATTTCATGACATTCAATGCGGGTTTCCTGGAAGGATTCCATCAGTGGCTCCCGGTTGTCGGCGATGAGTCACAATAACGTGGCTGAAGTATGTTGACCAGACCACACACTAGAAATTGAAGGGACGACGACGTTTCGGTCCGTCCT